TTCAATACATTGAGAAAGTAGAATCTTTTCTTTCAGATAACAGTTTTGTAGTTTTGGATAAAAATCCACTTAACACCTTTATTAATAAAACAAAAGCAATGGTTAAATTGTTTAATGACACTATTACTAAATATAACAACAGAAAGTTAACTGTATCTAATCCTATAACACCTAGGTTATATGGACTTCCTAAAATCCATAAACACAATTGTCCCATAAGGCCTGTTGTAAGTTTTTGTAACACTCCAGTTTCTATTTTATCAGAGTTCATCTACAACACAATTCAGTCTATCACTAATTTTAAACCTAAGTTCTCCATCAAAAATTCTTTAGATCTAATAGAACGTTTAAATAACATTAGGATAGAAGAGGGTTTTTATTTAGTTTCTTTTGATGTTTCCAATTTGTTTACTTCTGTACCAAGAGATGAAACTTTACCTTTAGTACACAACCTTCTAGATAATTGCAACATATCTGCAAAGGATAAAGATGCTATATCAACTATGCTTAAATTCTGTCTTGATCAGGACTTCTTTCAATTTAACCAAAAGATATATAAGCAACCAACAGGTTTAGCAATGGGATCTCCATTATCACCTTTTCTAGCTGACATTTTCTTAGACAGCTTAGAACAGAAGTTTGTTAACAACAACAACAAAATAGTTTTTTGGTCAAGATATGTGGATGATTGTATAGCTCTCATTAAGGGAACCCAAGATGATGCTCTACAGATTCTGGATGATCTCAATAACCTCCATCCTAACATCTCTTTTACTCTGGAACCAGAATCTGACAATAAGTTGAACTTCTTGGATATGACTATATCCCGTAACAAAGATTCTTTAGAGTACAACATTTATAGAAAACCCACCCAAACAGATCACGCTATACATGAAACGTCTAACCACCCTACTCAGCATAAAATGGCTGCTTTCAACAGTTACATTCATCGATTACTTAAATTTCCTCTTTCTGATGATAATTTTAATACAGAACTCAATACTCTTAAACAGATTGCTGTCAATAATGGCTATGATCCTAACATTATATACAAACTTCTAAATAGAGCTAAACTAAAAATTGCAGAAAAGCTTGCATATTCATCACAGTCTTTTCAACCTAATGTTTCAGATAACATCAGATATTTCTCCTTCACTTATATTAGCAGCATTTCCAATAAAATATCTAAACTTTTTACTTCTACAATTGATAACATCAAAATCTCGTTTAAATCACATAACACTCTAGGCTCCTTCTTAATCAATACCAAAGATAGGATGAATACACTTGATAAAAGTGGTATTTACAAATTAAAATGTGATGATTGTGATGCCTCTTATGTAGGTAGAACCATCAGAAAGTTATCCACTAGAGTCTCTGAACATTTGAAAAGACCAAACTCTTCAAGTTTTGGTCAACACTTAGTATCCAGCAACCACAATTTTAACATCAATTCTGGTTCATCCATCTTACATGACATCAGTAGAAAGAAAAACTATCTTGAGTTGGATTTATTGGAAGATTTGGAGATTACAAGGGAAACAAATGAAAACTCTCACTGTCTTAATACTCAAATTAATTTAAATTGTACTAAATTTAATCCTATATTTAAAAACTTTATTACAGCTCCACCTCGTAGAGGGCCCAGCTCGACTGTTTAGACTTCATGCACTGAGTATTTACATATTAATTTGAAAGTTCTTCCATTGACTGTGGATTCAACTGAACTACTTGGATTACAACCCATTTATATATTTTGCTTTTAATTTTGATTTTAATTTTTAGCAATTCAATTGAATATTCAGATTTTCTTTTTCTTTTTACAGTACTGATAGCGCTTAGTAGACCATTTTATTGTAGTCAACTATCCACTGTCTAATATATTGTTTAGTCTATTTCTTACATTCATACTTTATGTCAACTTCAATTTCTCTCAAACTAACATCCTAATTATTATAAACAGGTTTGAGTGTGAGATCTGGATTATTCAATCTACATAAAAATATTAGATATAATTTTATATTTCTTCAGTTGATTTCCTATAGTGGTGTCAGTTGGACCTTTGGTCAATACCTAGTTTCATAGAATCTTGAAAGGCGCAGATCACTTATCTATTGTAACTGCCCTTCACAAGCTGTCATTTGTCACATGTCACCCCAATATTTCCGCCTCCGCCAGGCTGGGAGCCATTCTGTCTCCGGCTTCTATAATATAAAAATGTAGCTTCTCCAATTTAAATTTTAAAGTGTTTGTTTGTCTTTAGTGTATTTGTTATGTCCCAGTTTACATGTATGACATTCAGTTATTGCTGGATAGGCCACAATTGACGAAGTAAGTCTATAAACGTTAATCACATAAAAAACTTTTTTCAACTATAAACTTGGAGTTTTTATCCAAGTGAATTAAAATTTCTTTTTAAAAAAACGTTTCTTGGCTTATTTCAGATGCCCCTGAGGATGATCTTGTGATCGAAAGTACTTGGGCAAGATTTAATTAAATACTGTGTTCGATATTTGCCTTGTGTACCATCAAAGTTCATTTATTCGAACATTCAACCTTATATTGAAAATCATAAAAACCCAAAGAGCAACAAATGTTGCACATAAGACTAATGGATAAAAAGAGAAACGAGTGGATAAGAGAGAAAACAAAAGTGAGGGATGTTAGACAAGCAGTTGCAAAATTGAAATGGAGATTTGCCGGACACAATATAAGACAAAAAGAAGACCGATGGAACAAAATTCTTATAAGTTGGAGACCGTGGGAATATAAACAAAGCTGAGGAAGACCCCAAATGAGAAGGGCAGATGATATCAAGAAGCACGTGGGCTCTAGGTGGATGACTGTAGCGACAGACAGAGGAGAATGGAAAAGGATTGCGGATGCCTATGCCCAAAGATGGACCGAAGAAGGCTAATTACATAGATATATAGATTAAGTACTCTTGTCCATAATTTTATATGTGAGAGTATGAAATAATTGAGTATATGGCAACACTGACGTATATTAAGCTTACATTTAATGTCAATTATATCTATAGGTTATGTTCATTGCCCCAAAAACCAATTTAACCAAATTGCCTATGATTTTATTTTGGAAAACATACCACCAACCGTCGACAGCATGATGAATAGAGTGAAGGATGATGAAGACCTATCAGCTTCTTCAAAACCACATTCCTAGGCTAACAAATGCCATGGGTTTTGAATATGGAAAAAGAAGTCAAGATTCGATAATGATGGAAAGAAAAGATATCACATCCTGGAGACACAAGTACCTCAGAGAAATGAAAACATTGAGGAAGAAGGATTGTAGTGACCTATGATTGACTGAATTTAATTTTTACGTGACTTTGGACTTGTGTCTTAGAATGTGTATTCCGGACAGCGAGTCACCGACCTAAGTCAGTAGCTCCCGCTCGGATTGTGTGTGCTCGGTTACTCAGCCGCCGAATTATTCTGCTCATCGGCTCATCACCCGAAAAGTCTGGCTATCAAGCCCAAGATTGCCAAACATTATGTAGTGATCAGGATATTATCGCAATCTATGGAAAGATTCCAAAGTTTTGGTTGTTTCAAACTGTCAAAAAGACAAAATGGGATCTGTCAAAAGACTCCAAAAATACAGAACCAAAATCAACGTGCCTGTCCAGAAGCTATAAAATCATATAAAACATTTATGGGTGGTGTTGATCATTCAGATCAAATATCTAGCTTATACGAAATTAATCGAAAATCTCAAAAATTGTGGGGGAAAACATTTTACAAGCTAGAGCTTGTGAATGTTCTAAACGGCTATGACTATTTTGAAAATATTTGCGCGTTGGGTTGTTCAAAATTATAAAAATTTCTAGGGTTAAAGCGTACTTTACGCATGCATGAGCCATAGCCCTTTAGATAATCCACTACCTCTACTGTTAACATCAGCCTCAAATGAATGGACAGTATTTGGTAGATATAAGCTCATGCGTATTGTTCCGTTTACTATATTTCTAGTAAACATAGCAGTATAGTTGATACACAGGTTGACAAAAAGCAGACGTTAGAAAACGCTCGAGTAGCAGACTTCAAGTTCATCACGAAATCTTGTAAATGTAGACCTTGCCGTTGCAAGAAAAATCTCCTCGTTAATTTCATTCATGTACTTCTCGAAAAGTGGAAAAAAGAGCAAAAACTATATGTTGACAATGTAAACTTCCCTTGCGCAATGACTGTTTTCAAACCTTTCGTACTTAAATGTCAGAAATTTATTATTTTCGTTACATTTTTACCTTTTTGTTACTGGTGGGACATTTGTATCCTTTTTTCCAGACTGTTCGGACAAATGAGTCCCATTTTGTGTTTTTTGTTTAGTACTTCTTAAGAAAAAATTGTTTTCATTTATTAATCCAGTGATATTTGTTAAATTAATAACGTATTTTTCGCGCACAGTAGAAAAAAAAATAAAAGTCGTATTTTGAATGCCGATTTCTGCTGGGACTCAACCGTAAAATTACGTTCTTCTTTTTCAAAATAATATCGTATTCAAAGAGTTAAGTAATGACAAGCTAACGTTGACGGATACCGGATACTATAAGGACGGATACCGGATATATAGAAACATTCACTGAGCACAGAAAACTACGGAGTTTCCAGAAAGGTATACCGTATAACAGAAAAGAAATTTTATTTTGTTCAATGATTTTTCTTCTTTGGGTAACATGTTTACTAATGTCATGTTAACTGAACTTTTCTTGAAAAGCATTTGTTTGTAATATTCCTACGCAATAAAAGATTTCAAAAAATGCTTGATAAGACAATATATAGGTGAGTAATCATTGGAAACTTTTGCACTTGAAGAATTTATAATAAAATTCAATTATCGATCTTGCGATAATAGTTTGGATAAATGTACCGGCTAAGGGAAAACGGAAGGACTTGGAAAAAGCATATTTAAAGTTGGACAAATAAAACTTAAACATATCTTAACTATATTTTATAAATATAAATTATAATAAAACATTTGGTTTTTATATTTTTAGCTCTAAAATTGTGTTGTTTTGTGTGACTATTATCGCAAAAATTGCAATCTTCTTTAGCTGTCGGGAGATATTAAGAATTTTCTTCAACACTCATTCCCGCCTGGAGCCAATTTCTTTTAAATGCCTGAGGTTTCGATAAACAACCAGGATTTATTAGTGATTTAGATGCTTGTAACATTTTGTTTATGTTTTGTTTGATGGGATCTATTAAGGTCCCCTTTAATTCTTCTATGGTATGATTATACAAAATGTTCACAACACATTCATCAAAACGTTTTTCTACTATTTCCAGTTCACCTAATAATCTAAAAACGAAAATAATCAAATAAATTATTGAGACAAATTACCATTTAAATTATAATAAATAAACAAAAAGCTTTAAAGTTGCTTCTTATGAAGCATAAAAAATGCACACTAGAGCAGATCAGCCTCTTACTTGTTGTTTTTTAATGATACATTGCTTTTTCGGCTTACAGGCTTAGGTCTGGAATTGTTTTTTCCTAGAGTTTCGTCTGCAGTAGGGGCAGATATAAAGCGGTGCAAGAATGGTCTTAGTTGTCTTCGTATAAAGGCATATAGTGATTGCTTGTAGCTAACGTTAAGACTTTTAGAGTTGAAAATTAGCCTCCGTCACAAAGTCAACACGTACTGTTCCTCATCGCCTTTGACATTACTGCCGAGATATTCTATAGATGAAAAATCGGGAAGAAACAATTCCAGCATCAGCCCCTGAACCGAGAAGCTAATGTATTATAACAAAAGTAAAGTAGACATTTAGTCACACCTACACAAAACTTTTGTATAAACCCCAGCTCCTAGTGACATGTGTGTTCCAATAGAATAGTGGGACCCACATGTTCGAAGATCAAGCCGGTCACACTCCGTAATGAAGTGGTACCTATCTGACTCTCAAGCTATAACCATTGATTATAAACCACTACCTAGATAGCTCACCTCGTGGTAACCGAAAGACGTATCAAAAACTAGATGGCGTTACTCGAAGACCGTATCGAGATTCTCATTCTCTCTCTGACTTGCGAAGATATAGGAGTGGTGTCAGGGCCGAACTTACCCTATAAGTGTATTTATTATCTATGTCTAGTGTTGTGACAAGTTATAGCGAAATTTTATAAAAAAAAAGGACTCACATTTTAGATAAAATGGCCTGTGTAATACATAAATGTGCTTACGCGGGATGTTTTTAAAAAAACGATGGAACAAATAATAATATATCTTTCTTTAAATTTCCCCTGAAAGACGTAGAGCGCACAAAAATTTGGCAAAAAAACTGCGGGAATATTGATATTATATTAATGGATATCAGTGACCTAAAACAGAGGGTAATTTGTCAGCATCATTTTGCAGTGGAACATATTTACCAAAGTGGCCAAAGAAAGTTATTAAGGAAAAATGCTCTTCCTCTAAAATTTACACAGTTAGCAACTGATTTAGGTGAGTATTCAACTTTAGAAATATTTTTATATTTGCGTAATGCAAATGGTCAATGAGAATAAAACTATTAAAATATATATTATATAAAATCATTTGATATTAAGTGATTTATATATATATATATATATATATATATATATATATTATATATATATATATATACAATTAAATCAAAAGAGATTTTTTTTTAAATATGAATGCGTTGTTAGTATCACTCCAGAAATATACCATTTTTCAAAGTAAAACACTTGCACGTCACGATTTATACAAAGTGACGTCACTTGTATTTAAAATTTCCAGAACATCAACCTAAGAGTTCAAATTTTCCTACCACAGCTAATAATACGAAACCCATACGGAACTGCTCGATCTTTCATAGGCGGCAACATAGTGTAATAATCAAAAAAATGTAATCATCATTATATTGGAAATTTTAGAATTATATTGATTAAATAACCAAAAACATTTTTTATTATTAATAATATAAATTTTATGAAATAACTCTTTCTAAGTCTAATATTCCACAAAATAATAATTTTAATTAAAAAATATATTAGACAATTATTTTACGCAACTGATACGGAAATAATATAATTAATAACGGATCATAATATAATATATATTAATAAATTGTATTTATAAATACATATGAAATATAGATTAATAGCTTTAAAAACTAACTATTGTTGTGTATTGCGATTGTGATATGCCAAAACAAATAAATAGTCTGTAGAAAGCTGATAAAATGTAGGTTTTGCTTTTCTGAATATTTTGGTCATAACTTGCTTACTCTTTATGCAAGAAACTTAACAAAAATAAACCTTCTTTAAACACTTTAAAAAAGTTGTAATGAGTTTTCGTCGAAAAGTGCTTTAGTTTTTTATTATTTCACGTTAAAATATTCAACATGGAATTTGACGAATAAGAACCTATTTTTCAATAACTCGAAAAGTATTGACTTAGTAAAAAAACTCTATAGAACCAAAGTTGCTTAGAATTACTGATTTTATGCACTTACAAACTTATCTTGAACAAATATTTTTTCACTCCCGATAAGGGGTGATACTAATCCATAGGGCAAAAGCATAATCTATTTTTCTTTGACATCTTAGTTTCGGGTAAGCCAAATTTCATGTCAATCCAAGCGATTCTTTAAAATTATGAGGTTTTGCAATATTTTACCGCGAGTGAATAGCTTGAAATATTTTAGTTTGCATCATTTCTGGAAATTAATTTGTTTGAAAAGTTACAAAAAAGTAATTTACATGAGATGTAATTTACATGAGATGTAATTTATCACTGCTAATTTTATTACGTATTTTATATTTTGTTATTTTTTTGTATTGTGTTGATAAATAAATAATTTTTAGAAAACCTTTACTGTTTTTATTAATCAATTTTTAGCGTTTTTTCTGAAGTAAAATCGGAATTTCATAATATAGATTACAAGAAAGTTAAAATCATTTGTGAAAATGCTGAGTGCCATCCTTATATCGTCCTCTCTTACACTAGAGAATTGGAGGACCATGGAACTTAAATTTATTTTTCAATCTTGGCAAATATTTCAATGAATGTCGCCACCATACAGTCAGGTAGTACTTAGGCGTGAGGGGCAAAGAGGTGTAAGTGGGCGGAGTTTAACACTGTATTCGTTTTTACCTTAGAGTGAGCTATCTAGGTAGTGGTTTATAATCAATGCTATAACCAACCACCTCTCCCCATCGTAGCACATAACGAATGGGAAGGCTTATTGACTGAACGTTACTTTGGATTCCTTGGGTAATGGGAGATCCTGTTTTACTTTGTGTGGTTAAGCCACCCGATTTTACAAGTATCTCGAAGAGCTTTTCTATCTATGATAGACTGAACTTAATATTTACGTTATTAATATAACGTAATAATATAATAATACGTAATATTTACAAGACTTTAGACTTGTGTTCTGCCACCTACTAACTTACCCACGGAAAATTTATCCGGCCCTCCATTATTAGCGCCGAGGTGGAGTACGCTATAAAAGTAGCAAAAGTATGCAAAGCCCCTGGACCGGATGGAATTACTACGGAAGCCATAAAACTGTTGGAAGATGATAACATCGACATGCTGGTAACAATTTTCAATGCCATATATAACACCGGCCACATTCCAACGGATTGGCTTTATTCAACCTTTATAAGGATCCCTAAATCACAAAGAGCGACAAAATGCAAAGACCACAGACTGATAAGTTTAATGAGCCATCTGCTTAAGGTGTTTCTTCGCATCCTTCGCACAAAAATGTTCAGAAAGTTGGAAGATCTAAGCGGTGAGACACAATTTGGTTTCAAGAGCGGACTGGGTACACGTGAAGCAGCTTTCTGCTTGAATACGCTTGTACAAAACTGCATGGATCAACGAAAGGATGTAGTCATAACATTCCTCGATTATGAAAAAGCGTTTGACACCGTAAAACATGACAATGATAAAAATGCTACACAACGCTAACATTGACGAGAAAGATATAAGAGTTATCCAGAATCTCTATTGGAATCAAAAAGCACGAGTGAGACTGAACAAATCAACCAACACAGAAGAATTTGAAATTTTAAGAGGGGTGCGACAAGGGTGTATTTTGTCTCCTATGCTCTTCAATCTCTATGTAGAGAACATTTTTGCAGAGGCACTGGAAGGCTCTGAGTGTGGAATAAAGGCTGTTACGCCGACGACACCGCGATAATAACAGACAACGAACATGATATGCAGTTAATGTTAAATAAAATAAACACCGTAGGAAAAATATATGGCTTGAAGATAAATGCTGGAAAAACTAAATGCATGGCAATAAGAAAAAACGCACTTTTAAAATACAACTGCAAGTAGATGGTGCTCCAATTGATCAAGTGTCCAATGATCATTTAAATACTTGGAATGATGATGAATGACCAATGGGATCCTCAACAAGAAATAAAATGCCGTACCGAACAAGCAAGACGAGCTTTTATCAAATTTAAACCGCTACTATGTAACCGCAATCTTTCCTTCAATCTCCGATACAGGATGGTTAACTGCTATGTATGGTCCATATTGTTATACGGCATCGAAACATGGACGTTAAGAGTACCTTCCATTAATAAGTTAGAGGCCTTCGAAATGTGGACGTTGCGAAGAATGTTCCGCATACCATGGACAGATAGGGTGAGAAACGAGGAAGTCTTAATAAAAGCAAATACTGAGAGAGAACTACTGGTAGACAGGGTTCTCGTGAAATAAAGTTGTCACCGCGCATATATAAATTTGAAAGTAGGGGTTGAGCCACTTCAAGCAAAGGCATTCGTGCGCCGGACGTTCTACGGGTAGCTGTTCGATATTTTTACAGTGTTGCATTGTTTCTTTTTATTTTAGTTGTACTTGTTCTATACAAAAGTTCTTTTCAGAACTCTGCTAAAATTAAAAATTTTAAAGGTAAGAAGATAATTTTTTAATTTATATTATTTATTAATATGTATAATAAAAATCAAATATATTTTTTTTGCTGCATATAAATTGTACATTGTGAGATACAATTGTAGCGTTTTCTCTACTCTGCTATTCATTTCTCCTTTTAGAGTTCTTTTATTCCTTTTTGTGCATAATTTTCTTAATCATTTCTTTTATCCTTAATAATTTTGTCCTTATATATTCTAAATACTGTTGGGCTAAGTGCTCCTCCCTGTCTTAACCTCGATGTATTGTAAACGTATGTGATATTGAATTATTACTAATTACGACATTGTTGTTCTCATTGTATATTCTTAGTAGCTTGTTGTTCATTCCTTTTTCTCTTGGTATTTTCCGTAGTTTCTGTCTTGGTACGTTATTGAAGGCTTTTTCTCTTTTGTCGCTTTTTGTGTTATCTGTTTTAAATTAAATATATATGATCCTGTATATTTCTACAACTTCTAAATCCACTTTGTCCTTCGTCTGTGTGTGTTCTAACATTATTCTTAATAGTTTGTTTATTATTTTTTCGAAGAGTTTCATACATGTACATATCAACGTCAATCCTCGGTAGCTATTACATTCTCTCCTATCTTCTTTTTGGTATATGGGTATTATTGGTGAACTTTCCAATCTTCCGGGATATTTTCATTTTTCCCAAGTAATTCTTTTAAAGTGAAAGTATCTTAACTGTATTGTAATGACATCATAATTACTACTGTTTGGTAAATACCTAAATAAATAAATTTGAATCAAATCATTATTTATGGATCTACACGTTATTTGTACCTAACCAAAAAATCATTCCTTTATCCTTTCTTTCGCAATTTACTGTTTCTATCATATATATTGGCAATATCAATAATTTCCTATCATAAATATTGGCAATATCAATAAAGTCATATACTTTAAAATGTTGATATAATATATTGGCTGAATTTTTAATATGAATGAGTCAGATAAGTTAAATTATTAGAAGAATTTTTTTACCAAGCAACAAAAACAATGGAAGTCGTCAAATAAATTTAATTTCAAACTTAAATTGTGGCTTACTGCCAAATAAAATAGTAAATTGCATAATCTACACAAGCAAATAGCTTCCGAACAATATCATTTTGTTAGGTAGTACGATACTAAAAATTCCCAATATTACTGTGATCATCCACATCTTGACAACATTGCAAACATTTTAAGATCTAGCCAGTGATTATTCAACGTGAATTCACGCGTAAATGTTCGGGTATGTGCATCCTTTTTTGATTTTAAACTTTCTCACTCTGCGCAGTGCAAGCTCCGCCCATTTCACGGCATCCCTGTCGGCCTGTACTCACTTTGATCAAGGTACGAAAAATTGGATACTTCGGCCATATTCTGAGAGGAAAAAAATACGCAATCCCTCAAATAATCATCCAGGGAAAGATTGAAGGCAAGAGAGGAGTAGGTCGCAAACAAATGTCGTGGCTACGAAACATAAAAAACTGGACAGACATCAATAACACTGGCGATCTTTTGCATGCCGCAAAAGACAGACGTCTGGTCTTAAGATAATTCGCCAACGTACTATAGGTGCACGGCACTATAAGAAGAAGACTTGTGTCCTAGAATGTGTTCGGAACAGCGAGTCATCGACTCGCTCGGATTGTGTGTGCTGAGTTATTCAGCCTGCGAATTGGCAAAATATTTTTTTCTGAGCGCCCGAAAGGTCTGGCTATCGAGCCCACATTTGTCGATACGTGGCCTCAACGCTCAAGTTCCGCGTGCTTGGTCCATTTGATCTACTTGAAGGCTATTCCGTGCCTGAAGGGCGACTTGTTTATCCGTACATTTGATTCACTTGTCTATTTTTTTGTAGAATTGGCACTGCATGACTGCTGTAAACTTATAGATAAATAAATTTCGAAAAATTTCACCTATGAATATTACTTACGCTTCTAGATTTGCATTGATTCCCAAAATATGTCCTCGATTCACATACATTGTTTTAATTTGCCATGGATTGAACCAAGTATTAAATCTGAAAAAATCAAATACTATTTTATAACTTAGTTATATACAGAACTATTTTGATAGGTACTTTGTTAGTTTGTATGTCGATATGGATGTGTATATATATACATATATATTTATATATATGATTGCACCTGCTCCTTGAAAAAATTTTGCCGATTCACCGTAGCATCTGAACATAAATAGTTACAAATAAGATCTGAATAGAGGATTCAATTATTACTCAATAAATGTAAACACTTCAAGTGTCAAATATAATCAAGTAAGTTGATTTATATATACCTGAAAATTTGAAAAAAGCACTTGCTATTATATTTATGATCGAATAGAAGGATTATGCGATTATTAAATACATAGTACTTTTGCGCATTAAAACTTGAAACGTTTATTTTTATTTAAACTGATGAGAAAATTTTTAATGTTTATTAAATTGGTTCTACTAGTATTGGCAATCTACAAACCAATGACGAATGAGTTAAGGATGCATAGCTTATTACATACAAATAGTAAAACAAAATACTTTCAGAGGGAATTTGGTCATCACAACTGATATAATATTAAAATTTTCGGTTTGAACATGCTACGGTAGTGACATTTTGCGCACTCAAAGCTTATTATCATCTTAGTTAAAGATATTTTTTAATGTTATACATGATGGAGGTTATAGAGTATTTTAAGTACAAACATATGCATAATCTACTTGAATTTATATCAGTACAGGGTAATGACAGTCAAATGGAACATTTTGAGAGTCAAATGGGACAAATGAGAAATTTTATTATTTTTTTTATATTAACTACCCACTGTATTTCTTGGTAATAAACCACACCACACCGTTGATTGGTTTTTCGTTTCGAGCTCATAGGAATATATCCATGTTCACGTCACGATATTCCATACCAAATTTGAGTTACCTCCGTTGGTACGTTTGGGTGTGGTGACACAACAATTGACACGTGCCTTCTTATGGGCAGCAGTCAAATTATAAGGAATCCAACGACTACATATCTTTCTATCTACCAGTCATGCACATATCTACCATGTCCAATAATGCACAAATCTCATGATAGGTACATGTCGATCTGCTTCAGTTATGCCGCGCATAGCATCAATGTTTTCCGGAACAACAGCTAGGGCTGGACGGCCTTCACAGAATTCATCACTAAGGCGGGTGCGTCCACGCTTAAATTATTCAAAAATCAAGACAAGGTCAATTAGCGCATTCCTGTTTAATTAGGCCAACTTTAAAATCGTATAAAAGCATCACATGAAAATTTTCGCGAGATTTACATTTTTTCAAGAGATTCCAAATGCGCGATGGATTTTCAATCTGTCAATGTAGTTTACCATAAGAGAATTTTTTTTTACATTACGAGCATATTTTTTTTTAATTTCTTCATTCAGTCGTTATAATATAAACGCATAATAAACTATAGTTATCGATTTTCAAAATAAAATCACAAACAGCCTTTTAAATAAAAATCGTTAATAACCGCTTAAAACTCACTTTTTTATTTTTTTTTATTAAAGCAAATAGTGTATTATCTAAATGAGATTATAATTGAAATCATGTAATTAACATAACTGAAACCAACTAATATAGACACATATAGAAGCACCCTTCAACGTAATTTTTTGGTATATCGCTGTCCCGGTGGAACATTGACGTAACTGCAAGTTGATCGAAAATGAGTTTATGTCGTCATTGGGTCCAAACTTGGTTACCCCATTCGTCAGATCACTGTCAGACGTGTTGTTCAGCTTTTAGCCACCAGGGAGCAGATGCGTCATATTGAAAAAATCAGCCGATCTCGGAGAAACAATGACATAATGTATAGTTGTGCTTCGATATGTCGAGTGTGTGATTGTACCTACGGTGCTACATTGACGCATTGTAATTTATGTTATTGTTGCTCTAAGGTTTTTTCATAAATACGCGTAAACATTGACGTAACTGTATTCTGTCTCATTTTCCATCTGGATTTCTTCTTATTGTGGGGCAAAATTGACATAAGTGCATTTTATGTAAGTAAAATATACATCAAGATCCCCAAACACCAACACTTTGTAATGCTCTCTTAGTCAAGAAGGGTGTTGGAGAACTATATCTCCAAACCAATAATTCTATTTTATATCAAATAATTCTATTTTCGCGTCGGTTACCTAAGTAAATCCAGTCTACCTAGACCTTGTTTCTGAGAATGTTAATCCCCGCCCACAGCGCCTACTTGACGACAGACCGGCTTTTCAAAATGCATAAACAAAAAAATATTCCAGCGGGGCTAGTGATTTAGCGACTTTCGTAGGGCTAACATCTATATTTCAAAAGTTTGGAGAGGATTCTCCACGTTGCAGTTTACGCAATTGACCGGGAAGCCGTAATATGTGAATAAGTGTTATGGTGTTTTCGCTTTCGTTCGCAAATTGTAATATTTAAATTAAGTTCCTACGATAAGTTACACACTCAAAGTTTATAAGCTCTATTTCTTGCCCTTTCTTTTTTCAATTACAGTTTCTTTCTAAACAAGTAATTGTTTTATTTCACTATATCAATTCAACAGGCCAGATAAAAGCAACTTTGAAAGTCCATTTTAGTTTCTCTACTGAGCTGTCGAAGGCTAGCGGACTAATTGGACTTGCAGCAAGAACAAAGCCGCTGAAAGAGACACTGTTGCATACAAGACTCTCCATGGAAGGGATGTTGTAAACCGGCACCCTCCAAAGGGAAAAAACGACAAAGAAATGTGGATAATTGGTTGAAAGAAAAGGGAAAAGACTAAAGAATTCTAAACAGCTATATATTTCTAGAACAGGAAAACCTGTAGCTTCTAAAAAAATGGGACCTGTGTGTACAGACAAATGCCATTTGAAATGTCCAAATAGGGTATCTGAAAAGCTGAGGGAGACACAGTTTGAAGAATATTGGGCATTCGAATCCTTGCAAAGACAGCGAGATATTTTGACTTCTTGAATTCAGCCACTTGCGTTGAGCTACCGACATATTTCTACATCAAAAACCATTCCCAAAAATACAAATTGTGCATATTTCATTACAGGCAAGGGAAAACAAGAACGGTTATGTAAAACGGTTCTCATTAATACTTTTGAAATAACTGAAAGATCTATTCGCTCTATAATTAAAGCAGTTTCAAGTGAAAAAACTACTATTATACCAGAAGATAAACGTGGGAAGCACGAGAGTCACAAAAAAAAGTGACAAAATTTTGGATTCTGTTCGTAGCCATATAAATTTAATTCCACGAATTGAAAGTCACTATCTTCGCAATGATTCTCCGAGACAATGCATAGACGGTGGTTTAATTATTGCGGAACTGCACAGGAACTATATAAAGGAACAAAAACAAGCAAAAAAAAGAAGAGTCAGCAACCTACGATTGTTATTCTTGTATTTTCAACAGCGAATTTAATATAGGGTTTTTTATCCCGAAGAAAGATATTTGTGACCAATGCGAATCTTTTAAAAATGCCGGAGCAGAAGAAAAAGAAAATATACAAACTATTGAAAATCACTTAGAGGAAAATAATCTAATCTAATCGTAGAGAAGAAACTAACGATAAACTGAACACAAATAATTCCGATAACAATATACATCTGGCTACTTATGACTTACAAGCAGTGTTACCTGTACCAATAGGACAAAGTATGTACTGCATTTTTTTACAAATCTCAATATTTTTGCTGTCAATACTTTGGACATCAATTCTATTACTTGCAAGTACCTTGTTCGCGGTCACACACAAAATAAAGGCGATTCAGTTCACAGCATAATAAAAAAATCAGTGAAGAGGCTGCTCTTCAGCCTCAACCAAATAGGGGCCCATATACATTCCCAAGCAATATGTTGAATGAATTAGGAATGCTTAAAAAACAGGAGCTCCTTTAATAAGAAATTTGCGACGCAAAAATCAAAGAAGCGGCTCTAATTATGCTAAATGAGACCAATTGTGTCGCAAATTCCTTGGCAGAATGTAGTAGGATCTGGTCACCCATATTGAAAGAGGAAGTTATTAAAAAGAAAATACCAGTATTAGTAAGTCAGTAACATATGGAGGATACATCAGTTATGTTTTTTTTAATAACAAACATATAAAATCAGAATTTGGTGTTTATTGAAAGTAAACTAAATGCACGACCAAATACTTACCATGTCGGGATAGTATTATGAGGTTTTTTTTCCTGGTTTTTCCCTCATAATTTACTATGGAATCACTAACAGGAGAATTTTACTGTCATCATGGCATGTGTTTGTCTTTTTAAAGACGAATTACATGCTATGATTTTTTCTGACGGATATTCTTAAGTTAAAGTTGATTTCATATTATCGAATGAACTACCTGATAAGTAAAGTCGTCCCAGGAGCGCAACTCAACAATATTGGCAATATCATTTTAAAGTCGTCTACTTTAAAATATATAATGTATGTCTGAATTGTCAATATAAATGAGTCAGATAAAATTAAATTGTTAGAAGAATTTTTCACTAAGTAACAAAAAAACGAAATTTGTTTAATTTACTAATGCTTGTATTTTGAGAACTATTTTCGAAGTGGAAATTGAAACGTCAAAAAACGTATTTTAACCTTTAATTGTGGCTTATTCCCATTTAAATAGTAATTATTAGAGATTAAGTCCCACTCATGCACCATATTTTTTTTTTGTATAAAATAAAATATTATTTTAACTTTTTAATGTTTTTTAATAAATGAATCTTTTTAGAACTATAAACAATATGGTGATTCAAATTTTTAATTTAAATGTGTATAAATCTCCAAATAATATAATAAAGTTTATGTAGTCTCCATATAAAGGAGTATTTGAAGTATACTAACTGTAACCATTGCTCCCATTTGATATGTGCTTCTACATGAGTCTATATTCGTTGCTGAAACTTTAAACAACATCTTCAGATAAAGGATGCTAACCCAAAATAAAGAATTTTCTATATTACGAGCGTCATCTAGTAAATTTTGTAAGGAACTTTATTATATATATTATATTCTTACCTGTCATCATTAACTTCCATTTTATATTTTCTGATAAAACTAGCTAACCATTCCATCGTGACGTATACTTCACTACCAGGAAAAATGGGAGGTCTGTTTGTCATGTTATTGAATGGAAATGAACAATTTATACGTAAAGCTTCTGCCCTAAAAAATATCATTAAAATTAATGCAGCAAAGGATAGAAGTTAGAGGAAAAGGATATATGAACTGCTAACTGAAAAAAGGAGACTTCCAACAAATTTTCATAAATTTACTTTGTTATTATTGCGTTCTTTACACGTAAACACATTGTTTTCAACAAAAATTTCTTTAACTGCAAAAAGGGGACTTTTACAGCAGAAGTTTCCTTTTTGCAGTTAACACACAGCCCGCAGTGTGGTGCTGCGCTCGTGTCGGCGCATGTTTTCTCTTCAATACCAGCACGACTACCAGTAGACAACAGCAGTGTCCGCGGTAGTTCGGCTTGAATTATTTATAAGAGAGGTGTTGTTGTATCATATCTCTAACTTTGTTTGCAATGGCTCGTAGCAATGCTAGTAGTGATAGTGATTCGGATACACCTTGCATAAGAAAAAAGGGTGTTGTGAATTCTTATAAATATGCACGAAATAAATATCGTGATGCAAGAGATCGCGGTGTTTCTTTTGTCAATGCAGCCGGAAAGGAGATACTAGCTCGTGTTCCCCCTTGAATGAGAATGTGGGCAAGTAGCAGTTTTAGCCATACCACTCTTCAATTCATTGTGCTTTTATTTTGTAACTTAATGTAATAATCATTCGCATTGCATTTGGCTGACATTCTAACACAATTTACTAAGATTATTTAAGTTATGTTAATCTGTCAATTATTTTAAGTTGTTTTAATATCTGCCTCATTTATTTCGGATGTAAGTTGAAGTGTTTGTCTCACTGGAATGCTGAGGAGAAGGCCACGCTTCTCTCCACATTCAACAACTTATCCAATAAAGATAAACAGGATGTTTTCTTGCAAGGCCTTATGGATTGTGCTGTCCCTAAGCGGCGATTACCCGCTGATAAAAGCAAAAAGCCTAAATCCAAGACAGTGACGTACAATTTACTTCTCAATGGCAGTAGAGTTGCTATTTGTAAAAAAGGATTTTTGGCGAGCTTTGGAATCACAAAGAAAAGATGTGAGCGGTTATCTAATCTGCTTCATAAACAGCAAACTCCTCGTGATCGACGCGGGAATAATAAAATACCAACTGAACTACTTTCGGAAGTACATAAACACATTGCTTCGTACCCCACTAAAACAGCTCATTATACTTCTCACGAAATGCAATATCTTGATTCTGCACTTAATGTGCAGAAAATTTACATGTACAAAGTTAAACACGCTGATCATAAAATTAGTTACGAATCTTTTTGGAGATACTTTAAAGAAAATTTTGATCTCAAATTCGGCCAACCTCAGCAGGATACATGTGTAACTTGTGAAGAGTTATCACTAAAAATTAAAAATTAAAAAAAAAATAAATTTTTAAATGACCACGCATACGTCAGGCCGTGGAGTTTAGGGGTTTACATTGTAAAAATGACACGCACCCTATCCTCCATGCTATGGCATGCTGGACGAGCCATACAGTCTGTAGTCGACATCCCGAGGTATGAGCGGGAATACAAAATGTACCAATACTCATACGCTTATGAAACGTATCTGGCGGATCATAAGGGCCTTCACATTTTGCTCTTTTTCAACTTGTCTGGGTGAAATGTCTTTAATCTTTTCTATCAGCCTCTCTTGGCAAACTCTTGTTTTTCCGACCCCGAGTGGCTATTAGGGTAATCCGAGGGCAGACGGGTCACTATAATTCTGTCTACTACACTCTACTACTCTTCTCTCGACTAAGGGAGTAAACCCTAACAGAAAATCCTGGTCCTCCTGGTAGGGGGTTGGGACGTAGAGCCTGCTCCTCTACACCCGTAAAAAACTTACTGCAAAAAATTCTAAAATCCAGCCTCGGGATATGGACGGGAAAAAACGAAAACGACGTAGCAAACGAACAAGGACTTTGAATATAAATACATGGAATATCCAAGGGTGGAGAACCAAGTCAGACGAAGTCATGGCAGAAGTAAAGAAAATAAAATCAGATATCACGGTTCTTACCGAAACAAAGAAAAAAGGCCAAGGTAGTGAAGACATAGCAGGTTTTATACATATTTATAGTGGAGTAGGGAAAGACAAAAGAGCACAAGCAGGGGTATCAATATTGATTAAAAAAGACTTAAAAGGAAACCTGAAAAGCTGGGAGCAGATCAATGAGAGAATTATTAGAGTATCTATTACGTGGAAAGGGCACGACCTCGAGATCATTGGAATATATGCTCCGTCAGAAAATGCATCAAAAGCAGCTAAACAAATATTCTATGAAACTTTATCGGAACTCATTGAAAATATAAATAGCCGCAAAGAAATTGTGCTGTTGGGAGATTTTAACGCTTGGACAGGAACAAAAATAAATGACAAAGTCGTAGGAAAATATGGTGACGCTAAAACAAATGAAAATGGGGAACACTTAATCGAATTCTGTGAACAGCACTCTCTAAAAATCCAAAACGGATTCTACCAACATAAAAACATACATAAGTACACCTGGGTTCAACCAACGAGAAACACAAAGTCAATTATAGATTATGTCATCACAAAACAAGAAACACACATACAAGTTGAAGACGTAAGAGTACTAAGAGGACCGGAGTGCGGAACTGACCACTATATGGTAAGATCAAAATGTTACCTACAGTATCGACCTCGGCTACTACATCAAAATGACAACCAACTAGCTCAATCAAAACCCCTGGAATCGAATCTACCTAAATACAATATTGATGCACTGCAAAACGACTCGACATCATTCTTATATAAGCTGCGACTTAGCCTAAAATTGGCAAACCTGATCTACTCCTCAGCCCAGAATACCTATAAAGAGATAATCAATAAAATCAATGAAGCAGCTTACGAAGCGCTCGGCACAATCCAAAAGAACAAAAAGAGTACTCCATTGTGGTGGACAAATGACATCGCCAATGCAGTACACAACAAGAAACAAGCATATCAAAAGTGGCTGCAAACAAATGATCCAGATGATAGACGAACATATGCAAGATTAAACAGAGAAGTAAAAAACTTAGTAACTAAAGCAAAAAATATTTCCTGGGAAAGTAAATGCGAAGAACTCAACAAATATATAGGGTCAACAAGATCAAGAGAAGCATGGAAAACGGTAAAAAATCTGAGAACAAACAGAAAAGAAACGAGTAGAATAGATTTAATAGAAGAAAAATCTTGGATCGAACACTACTCACAACTTTTAACTGAAACAAGACCTCAATTCACGAACATCAGTACAACAACATATGAACTGGAATTCAGTGAAGACGATGAAATAACAGTACAGGAAGTCGAGAATGCAATACGAACTCTAAAAAATGGGAAGTCATGCGGACCACAAGGTATACCAAATGAATTATTAAAACATAGCCCACAAGTATTACGGGAATTACTGGCGTATGTCTTCACCTTATTCTATAATGGACACGACTTACCACCGGAGTGGACAAAAGCACATATTAACAACATATACAAAAAAGGAGATAGAAAGAATTGTTCAAACTATAGGGGGCTAAGTGTCATAAATTCACTCTCAAGACTGTATGGAAAAATAATAAAAAATAAAATTGAAAAAGAGATGACAGATGTAGAAGAACAGAATGGCTTTCGGGCAGGCAGATCCTGCATGGACAGTATATTCTCTCTAAAGCAAGTTATCGAAAAAAGATTAGCCCACAACCTTTCAACTCATATAGTCTTTATAGATCTGACAAAGGCATACGATAGTGTACCACTTTCAATGCTTTGGGTAGCAATGGAAAAACAAGGAATAAGCAAAAAAAATATACAAGCAGTACAACAGCTCTACAAAAATATGACGGCAAACATTAAAACTGGAAATAGATTAACTAGAGAAATTCCTATTAGTAAGGGCCTAAAGCAAGGCTGCTGCATAGCACCTACACTCTTCAAAATATATCTAAATGAGGCACTCTCACTGTGGAGAAGAAAGTGCTGCAATATGGGCATCCCAATCGGAGATGATAGATTGTACACGATACATTTCGCTGATGACCAAGCCATTCTAGCTGAAGACGAGAGTGATATAAGCTACATGCTTAGAAAACTGGAAAATGAGTACACCAAATGGGGCCTCACAATTAATATACAAAAAACTGAGTACTTAGTTGTAGGAGAACAACCAGAAAGCCTACAAATAGAAATGGGAACTATAAAACCAACAGACAATTTTAAGTACTTGGGAGTCCAAATAACATCAAAAGCAGGAAGTAGCGAAGAAATACATTCCAGGATTGGCCAAGCAAGATCAGCCACCAGACAGCTACACGGACTATTATGGAATAAAAAAATAACAAAAGAAAATAAAAGAAGAATTTATAAAACAATAATAGAAAGTATTGGACTGTATGGCGCCGAACTCTGGGAAATAAACCAAAGAAACAAATCAAAAATTAAGGCCATGGAAATGAACTACTGGAGACGATGTTGCCAGCTCACTAGACTTGATAGGGTGAGAAACGAAGATATTCGGAGAGAAATGGAAATCGATGTAGATATAATAGACACAATCGAAGCCAAAAGACTTAACTGGTATGGACACCTTCAGAGAATGCCGGAAAATAGATGGCCAAAAAAAATAGAACAATGGACTCCGCCAACTAGAAGAAAACGAGGTAGACCAAGACGATCCTGGAGAGACGATGTCGACGATGCAATGACCGCCAGAGATCTAACAACTGAAGATTGCTTCGACAGAAAACGCTGGAAATTAGGATGCGAGAAGCGGCGCCAGCTGTAGAAGACTCGCTTGTTATATGTAATGACAACGCAAAAAGAGTGGCTGTTGCTGAGTTGCTAGTTCATAAGCGAAGGAGCAAAAAATTTTATAATTACCTCAGAGCAGAACGGGAGGATAAAGACCAAACAACTGCCGCAATTGCAATAGATTTCATGGCCAATATATCTTTACCTATTATACCTGCGCAAGATCTCTACTATTAACAGAAAATTGACAGTTAGTGTTTTCGAAATTCATAATTTGAAAGATGGAACGATAGTCTGCTATGTTTACCACGAAGGAGAGGGTGACAAAGGCCCGAACGAGGTTTTAAGTCTTTTGAGTAATTATATTGAGACATACATTTTATGTGACTCTCTGATAAAACATGCAGTTATATAATTGTTTATGTAAAATATGCTAGACACTTTGCATATATTCCGGTAATCATAGATAAATTATAAATTACAAAAAATAAGAGAATATAATAATAGAATGCAGTATGCTTCAGTACAAGTCATTCAACTACATCTAAATTAAATGTATTTTTACTCTTTCTAAACTTATACTTACTCGCAAGCTTCCGGTGAATACTCTCCATGACGCAGTGTCATTAAACTAAAAAATAAAGATGGAATTCCACATGGTAGCAACTCACATAACGTCGCATAATGATCAAATCTCGACCAGCCAGTTAGTACTATTCCTCTTAAGTTTTTTATTTTCTCAGTATATTTTGACAAGCCCCGAATCCAGCACTCTTGATTTTGTATATGATGGGCAACTGTTGGTATTATTTGACAGCTACTTGTGGCTCCTTTAAAAGCAGAAGCAGCCCATATGTTCGGGAATATGGTGCAGTATTTGTCCCAGAGATTTTGATTAAAGAAAGCGTCTTCGTTTTGGTAGTACCAAACCATTGGCTCCACGAGATCTCCTATATTTGATTCTATAAAAATAAATGTAAGTTAAAATTACCATAAAACGTTGATTTTCCATTAGAAAATTCATGCGGGTTATCAATAATATTTTTCCATGCTCAGATAAGCTTTACTGAGACGAATTTATCAAGAAGTAAAGGTACTGCCATTTGGACTTTTGGTCCAAATGGAAAAACTCCAAACTCCAAATGGAAATAGATTTTATTATTAAGGACAAAAAACACAGCGTTAAAGACATCACGGTTCTAAACAGATTTGTTATCAGTAGCGATAATAGAATGGTACGAAGTAAAATAGAAATAAGCTTAAAGAAGGAGAGGTATAAGATGATAAAAAAGAAGAACAAATCAAAACCGTGGATGAAACCATCAGATGTATATAGTTTTCAGCAATATATTTCCGACATACTTAATACTCCTGAAACAGAAAATAATATAAACGACTTAAATAATAAATTAACAAATGCTTTACTGGAAAGTCAAAACAAATTCTGTCCTAGAACTCAAAAAGAAGAGAAATGAGAAGCCAGACGGAAACTAAAGCCGACGAACTACAAAAATTAAATAAAGAAATATCCAAAGCTATTAGACAAGATACTCGAAAATACAACCAAGAACAAATCGAACATACTATTGAGAACAATAAAAGCATGAAAGTATTGAGAAAAAAACTAAAAACGGGGGCAACACAGATAATAAATATTAAAGATAGAAATGGTCATCTTACAACCAACAGAGAGGAAATACTTAAAATAGTTGAAAGCTTCTACAAATTGCTGTACACAAGTCAACACAAAACAAATAGCAGAGAAGATCAAGTACCAGAAATATTAACAAAGAAAAAGGGCAATGTCAACCACGGATCAGAACTATTACCGGAAATCACAATGGACGAAATAAAACTAGCCCGAAGAAAAGCTAAGAATAACAAATCTCCAGGCGAAGATTGTGTAGTTACTGATGCAATCAAAATCGGAGGCACTTGCTTACTTAAGAAAATAAAAAACCTTTTTAACATGTGCCTTTTGGACAGTAATATACCCGACAAATGGCACAATGCTGAGGTAATTCTATTGTACAAAAAAGGAGATCCCCATGAATTAGAAAACTAGAGACCTATAAGTCTTCTTAGTCACCTATACAAACTCTTTACAAGCATAGTAACGAATCGTCTTGAAAAAAAAACTTGATTTCTACCAGCCAATAGAGCAAGCGGGATTTCGTACCGGATTTGGAACAAATAATCACCTACAGAGCATTAAAACGGTAATAGAAAAGACTATCGAATACAATCGACCAGTCGTTCTGGCTTTTGTAGATTTCCATAAAGCCTTTGACACGGTAGAATTTGACAAAATCCTGGAAGCACTACAAGCATGCCGCATTGACTACCGATATACAAGGTTAATTTACAATACATACAAAAACGCAACTATGTCGGTGAAACTACATGAAAAGACGGATCACATCCCAATCGGCAGAGGAGTCTGACAGGGTGGTACCTTATCGCCTAAACTGTTTACCGCAGTACTAGAATATGCTTGTAAAAAACTTAACTGGGAAGAGAAAGGCCTGAACGTTGACGGTAGAAGATTAACAAATCTGAAATTCGCAGACGCCATAGTTTTGTTCTCGGACAACCTCAAGGAGATATGTACAATGCTACATGAGCTTCAGTTAGTGTGTGCCAGTGTGGGTCTTAAAATAAACATCATGACAAACCTAGTACCTAGCGGAAATATCAATATTGGAGACAACTAAGTAGATCTGGTGGAAAAATACGTATATCTTGGACACGAAATAAAGATCACAAGAGACAACCAAACATGCGAACTACGAAGAAGAGTAAACCTAGCATGGGCAGCCTATGGAAAACTCAAAGACATCTTTAAAAGCGATATACCAATTTCTTTGAAACGTAAAACATTTGACCAATGTGTGTTGCCTGTGATGACCTATGGTGCCGAAACTTTGACATTGACAGCTACAAGTTCTAGAACGCTGCAAGTAGCTCAGAGGAAAATGGAAAGATCAATGCTGAGTATATCGCTTCGTGGCCGAGTTAGAAATGAAGACCTAAGACGAAGAACAGGAGTTACCGATGTAATATCCCGAATTGCCACACTGAAATGGAACTGGGCTGGACACGTCGCCCGCATCAGTGATGAAAGGTGGACGAAAAGATTGCTTGAGTGGAGGCCGAACTTAGACAAAAGAAGTAGAGGAAGATCCCCTACACGATAGACTGACGATCTGAAAAATATGTCAAAAATTGGATAAAAAGTGCTCAAAACAGAGCACAATGGACAAAAATGAGGAACGCCTATGTCCAGCAGTGGACGCAAGGGCTGGGTGATGATGATGATGAAAGGTACTGCTGGTTGAACTTCGAAAATTTGTAACACACTCACACAATTTGTATTATCTGACTTGTGGATGGGGTTGACACAACTGTTTTCCAATATTTTGGAAACACAGACAAGGTCAATTACATATTGATTATTTGTTGCAAAGATTTACATAAGGAAAAACCATAGTTCTTAATAAATACCGTTGGTATTTTGTCAGGCTCTGAAAAATATTTAGTCGTTCTTCTCAAACAACTCACTTGGGCTAAGTTCAAGAGGGTGGAGATCAACATTGCAATCAATTTGGAAACCAGATATCAGAATTTTTTTTTTCAATTTCAAGAAAAAAGATTATTTCTTCAATAAATAAATAAATCACATATCTAATAAATATACCTCGATAATAAATAAAAATATCTTTCTAAATATAACATCACACTTAATCATAACAACAATAGCTTGCTTTCCAACTGTCTCCTTAAGATACATATACCCCTTAATTTTCGATGCATAATGAAGCTGAAGACCAACAGACAGCATCTTAGGATAAATAAGATCAATACACGCATATCTAACTACATTCCTTGAACTGGCATGTAAGTACTTTTAAATATGTTTCTTTGCACCTTGCATATGTAATATTGGCCATATTTATAACAGATCTGATAGAACCGTATTAGTTATAATTTGTATTTTTTCAACATATTAGTTTAACCTTACTGTAAATTATAAACGTCACATGTTTGTTATTTTTCTTTTGATTTTACTCCTTTATTAACTTTATCTTTCATTCTACTATTTTTATTCTAAAATTCACTCAATTCGCTCAATTTTTCATTCAAATCTTCAATCAAGTATATTCCAAATTCAATAGGATTGTAGGGCAGACATTTTGTAGTTCGTAAACACTTGATAGTAAGTGGTTATATATTTATTTATTTATTTATTAACACACAAATTTACTTCTCAATTATCATTTTTGTCGGTTACATCTGATATAGGTAAGTCCGAACTGGATAAAGTAGACTCGCCTTGTTGCGAAATTTATTATTTAGTACCGCGTGCAGCTTATCAATGTGGTTCAGGTATAACTGAATGTCAAGAGAGGTACAGGCGGAGTGTTATCTTTTTCGAAAGTAATGTTCTTATTGCAATACGGCAACATTGTTAAAACTCGCTGGCAAATAGTGGAAATAAATATTCAATTCAGGTGGTCAAAATAATTTCATGGGCGCACAGTCGGGTAACATGGCATCAAAACATCATGCAGTACATCTGTTAATAAACCGGATAAAAGGAGATGGTTATCTGTGACAGAAGAACAAATGATTAAATCGGTTTATGGGGGATTACGTACAAGATATCAAGCTATCTTTATAGATGACGTCGCGGCATTGTCTGGTAATTTAACGAAAGTATTGACTCGTACGGTTTTCCGAATAATTCAAGGTAATAAAGCACGTCAAAAACCTATTCATAAAGGACAAACAAAAATTGTATTGGACGATATTAAAAAAGTATAATCCGAAGAAAAGTTCACGGATTTTATTTTAGGAATGAAATGCCCACGTTAAATTCTATTTAACGAGAAATTAATGCAGATGCAGATGATACTTTAAATAAAATATCCATGTCGGTATTACAAAGAACATTACGTGAAATGGATTTTCGGTATGTAAAGAGAAGTCAGAAAAGTTTGTTAATCGAGCGAGACGAACTAGTGATATGGCGGAGAGAATATTTACAAAAATAATTGTGATTTTAGGCGTCTTGGAAAAAAAAAATATATGGACGAAACGTGGTTGAATAAGGGGCATACGAAATCCAAAGTATGGCAAGACTTAAATATTAAAAGTTCACGGCAGGCTTTTGATGAGGGACTTTCAACTGACTTAAAAGCACCTTCAGGCAATGGAAGACGCCTTATTATTACGTACATAGGAAGTGATTCAGGTTTCTACCAAGGTGGTTTACATGTGTTTACCCCAATTAAAACGGGCGATTATCACGAGAATATGAATTGTGATGTGTTTGAAAAGTGGTTTTCCTCTATACTGATTCTTGTAGAACCTGGATATATGTATAACTGGATTCTTGTATAACCTATAATGGACAATACACCTTAACACAGCCATCGTATGGAAAAAATACCAACTTCTGCATTTTGAAAGGCATATATAGTAGATTGGCTAAGAAACAAAAATATAGATTTTGGTGAATCCATGATAAAAGTTCCATTACTTGATGTAGTGCGCAAACATAAGACTTCATACATCAGATTTGAAGTAGACGGTACGTGACATCATCACCGTATTAAGAACTCCACCGTATCATTGTGAATTGAATTCTATCGAGCTGATATGGACACATGTAAAAAAGGAGGTAGCGCAAAAGAACATAACCTTCAAATTAAGATGTTAAATTATTATGAGAACAAACCATACAAAATATAACCGCTTTCAACTGGTAGTCATGCTTTAAACACGCACAGAAAGAAGATCATAAAATGTGGGATGTAGATACGCGTGTTGTTGTTCTTATCAAGCCCATTATTATTACTCCAGGAGAATTGGAATTGGTTAATTAATATCTGGAAGTGAATCAGCATAAACAGATTTACTTTTGTTAAAACATAATTTGTTTTTTGTTGCTATTGTTGTTTTGCCATTCGGAAAGTACGTGTGAGATTCTTTATTCTACGAGGTTATAATACTGTACGTACGTACCTAATAACTTTATTATTATTATGGCAAATTTGTTTCTCAAAATTAAGGTTTACATTAGGTTGCCGGGTCTATTATTATTATCCCAGATTTAGCCATACGGCTCACACTCCCTCTAAGAGGAAAATTCACTCATCCCAGATACCTACGGTATCAAAAGGATTGAGCTCTGGCGGGACTCTTTCCGTGTTATCGAGCCCTAGGTGACTTGGTATGTCGGAGTATCTCCCAGAAATTTTCGTACACATCTGGAGGTCGCGAGGAGTACAGCTTTCTGCATGGCCTTAAAAAAATGTTCATTTAGACCCAGCTGTTTTATGTTCGCTAGGAGGTTTTTGGGAATAACACCAGTAGTAGATAGAACAATAGGTACTGTCTGGGTACTTTCCATTCTCCATTGTCTCTTGATTTGTATTTCCAGATCTCTATACTTGGCGATCTTTTCGTTGTATTTAACAAGCAAATTGTTAGTGTTAGGTATCGCCACATCAATAAGTGTTGTTTGTCTAGTAAGTTTATTAACTAGTATGAGATCCGGTCTATTATGGGCCACTGGTTGGTCTGTAAGCACAGTGCGGTCCCAGTATAGCTTGTAGTTGTCATTTTCAAGCATTCTATCAGGAGCGTATTGATAATAAGGAAGATGGTCGGTATGCAGAAGTCCCAGTTTGTCAGCTAGTTCTTGGTGGATAATCTTTCCTACTGAGTCATGGCGTTCTTTATAATCAATACCGACAAATGCCTGGCAGCCACCGGTAAGATGTTGGATGGTTTCTTGGGCTTGGCATCCATATCGGCATTTGTCATTTTGGACTTGAGGATCTTTAACAATATATTTCAGATAATTTTTAGTTGGAATAACCTGATCCTGAATGGCAAGTAGGAAACCCTCAGTCTCGGGAAACATCTTTCCTGATGTCAACCAATAGTTCGACGCTGTATTGTCGACATATTCTTGGTTGATCTCATTGAGATGTCGCCCATGCAGAGGTTTACTCATCCAGGTGCGCATTTTTTCTTGTTGAGTCAGGTGGTTTATGCGCATTTCTTGTTCCCTCAGTTTAAGTGGCGTCGTATCATCTACTGCGCAAATTGCTCGATGTAAAGTAGATGTCTCAGCCTGTACCTGAAAATAAGATCTTAAATTAGAAATTTGTTTATCTAATTGCTCACCTATATCCATAAGTCCTCTTCCCCCTTGATACCGCGGTAATGTTGTTCTCTCTACTGCACTACGTGGATGATGTTTTTGCGCCTTTGTGAGAAGTGTTCTTACTTTCCGCTGAAGACCTCCGTCTCTATATCCGTTTTTGACCACTTTATAATACCAAATGAGTAGCTCAGCGCGGAACAGGCGTACGTATTTAATGCCTTAAACAAATTTTTACTATTAAGATATGACCGATTTAGATATCTTACTCTTCGCACGAACTCAGAAGTTAGTTCCGTTTTCATTTGTTTATGGTCAATTTTACGTGCTTGTTTTACTCCGAGATATTTGTACATATCATTTTCACCCATTGCCTCGATGTTTTAGCCATCTTGCATATCGAAACCTCCAGGCTGAACCTTTCCTCTGACTATATTTAGTATACGGCACTTGTCTAGTCCAAAATGCATACTGATGTCATTTGAGAAATTTTCTACAGTTTTTAGCATCTCATCTAGGTGGTTTCGGGTGGAAGCCATTAATTTTAAATCATCCATACACAACAGATGATTAAGCTTCGCTACAACGGTGTTGTTATTTTTGATGCTAAATCCTGAGTCAGTAGAGTTCAGCAGCTGAGATAGTGGGTTCATCGCTAGGCAGAACCAAAGTGGACTCAACGAGTCCCCTTGGAAAAGGCCCCGGTTAATAGGGATATCTTCAGTTTCGATATTAATTTCACCAGGTATTTGAAGGTATTATTATTATTCCCAGATTTCCCACACTCCCTCTAAGGGGAAAATTTACTCATCCCAGATACCTACGGTATCAAAAGGATTGAGCTCTGGTGGGACTCTTTCCATGTTATCGAATCCTAGGTGACTTGGTACGTCGGTGTATCTCCCAAAAATTTTCGCACTCATCTGGACGTCGAAAGTAGCACAGATTTCTGCATGATCTTATATAGATGTTCATTTAGACCCAGCTTTTTTATATTTTCTAGGAGGTTCTTCGGAATGACTCCAGTGGTAGAAAGAATAATAGGTATCGTCTGGGTACTTTCCATTCTAAATTGTCTCCTTATTTGTATTTCCAGATCTCTGTACTTGGCGATCTTTTCGTTGTACTTAACACGCAGATTATTGTTGTTAGGTATCGCCACATCGATTAGAGTTGTTTGTCTTGTTAGTTTATTAACTAGCACGAGATCTGGTCTATTATGTGCTACAGTTTGGTCTGTGAGCACAGTGCGATCCCAGTATAGCTTGTAGTTGTTATTCTCAAGCATACTCTCAGGAACGTATTGATAATATGGGAATATTATTATTATTATTATTTCTGTAAAGCAGTTAGATCATTATTCTAATATCTGTACGTTTAAATAAGTCTAATGTAAAGGGTTCAGAACTCAATGACCACTTGAAGGTGCAAACATGAAAGTATCTAGATTCAGCTACATCAGCAACTAACCACAACATTCTGCAATCATATCCAGCTACTCGAAGACAACATCAGATAAAATAAGTATCATTTAGAAATATTTTTATGTAAACCTGCAGGAAAATTTGTTTTGTTTGATTTTCATTTAATATTAAAATTTTCAATGTTTATATTTATTTATCTACAATAAATATGGATAGTTAATATCTTAGTTTATTGGTCCTAGCCAAACTCATATCTACTTCTAAGACATTCTCACGCCTGAAAGACTGAGCTAGACGAGACCTAACAATTGGCTGCCAAAGAAACTTGTGAGTTATATTGAAGTTTGTGAAAACATAGAACTTGAAGGTTACACATTGGCTCCCGACTTTCAGAGGTAGTTATATTGTTACCCATTGGCACCATCCGTTTCTAATGGGTCCGTTCAATGGTTACAACCTGAAGATGAACAGTAAATCGTAGTGTTCGAAACTGGTCGCCTGGTTGTAGGTTTAATAAAATAGATTGTGAGTAAGTCTAATATTTATTTCTACACCCTGTTAAAATAGTTTTTATGCATTATAAATATGAATACAAAACCTGTGAATAAGTTTTGTCCACACTTTTACTAGAAATATTAAAATATTGAAAAATTAAATAAGTACATACCCTTAAGAAGATCTTCATCGATATTTCTTAGCATGTCGTCCCATACGATTATTTTCTTATTTGGATAGGTACTTTTTATATAAATTGCTAATTTGATCACATGATCTAACCACAAGAAACGAAGCCGTTGTGAACCTAGTTGAACACATTTTTCACAAACTCCCATGTGCCAAACCTAAAATATAGATTTTGGATACTGTAGACTATTACAGTTACGTCGTATACTTCTTGATAGTTGTTAATTTCTTGATAAAACGCGGTATCACTCAATGCTTTATTCCTTTCCCAAAATAAACTTAGTCGATAAATAATGAATACGGATAGTTACCCAAACCAGAATTTTCGTCTGTAGTCACTCATGCGTGAAACAGTCCCGTGTGGGATGCGGGCCACTAAGAAGAATACACCCACAGGATCTCCTACTGGTCGTAAGAGGCGACTGCAGGAGCAGCTGACCGCTGTCCCTACCCAACAATCCATCTCGTTCTTTACCCATCTATTTACCTAGAACCTATCTAACCCACACCCCGAGTGTTGGATGAGTCCTCTTAACCGTGTTTGAGTGGAAGAGGCCCATTTTACGCGGGGGGTGTGTGTGGCATATACATGCCGCGCACCCTACACACAAACTGCGTAACTTGCGCCTTTCCCCATTCACACACTCCTAAGTTTCCTCACTCGCCAACCCGCCTGACAAGCGTGGCGTTTAAATGTCAAAAAACCCTCTTCAACAAACATGTCGAATCACAAAACAAACGGAAAATTACCCCAGGTGGGTAGAGATAACATCTCGAAGTCCCACACCGACAAACCGGTCTGCCTCAAAGATTCTGGGGAAGGCAAACATTCGACTAAACTAAACATAGGAACATATAACATCAGATCCATGAATGATGATACTAAACTTCACGAATTAGAAGAAGAACTAAATAATATACAATGGGATGTCATTGGTCTGTCAGAGATAAGAAGAAAAGGTGAACAAAAAATACTATTAAACTCAAAAAACATGCTGTACTATAAAGGCAATGAAGATAACTCTAACAACGGAGTTGGTTTTATAATAAACAAGAAAGTCGTCAGATACATACAATCCACCAAGGGTATATCAGACAGAGTAGCCTACATTATGCTTAAATTAAAAAGAACGTCTTTGAAAATTATACAGGTATACGCGCCAACAAGTTCATATACAGATGAAGATATTGAAAACTTCTACGAAGAACTAACACTCGCTATGGAAGAAAAGAAAACTAAATTGGCGCTAATAATTGGAGACTTCAATGCCAAATTAGGGGGAAGAATAGATGGAGAAGAACATAGAATTGGAAAGTATGGATATGGCGAAAGAAATAATAGAGGACACACATTAATGAACTACTTGGAGGAGAGACAACTTTTTGCTATGAACTCGTTTTTTAACAAAAAACCACAAAGAAAATGGACATGGATAAGTCCCAACGGTAATACAAAAAACGAAATAGATTACATCCTTACAACAGAAAAAACCATCATCAAAGATGTTACAGTACTGAACCGCTTCTCAACCGGTAGCGATCATAGACTTGTCAGAGCCAAACTCAGGATTAATAGCCAATTCGAAACAAAAAAGAAAATAGAAAATGTATCGAAACTAGATATGGAAAAACTTAAGCAATCAAAAGACGAATATAAACAAAAAATAAAGGAAGGTATACAGGTCACTAGAGATTTGGAAAACAAAAATATCGATGAAATAAATCAGCTATTAACCGATAAATTAGCAAAGGCGGGAAAAGAGGTAGCACAAACAAGAATAAAAAAGGAAAACTATGTATCACAGGAAACAAAAAATCTTATGAGTAAAAGAAAAACATTAGTGAAACAAGATAAGAGAAACACAGTAGATTACAAAGAGGTAAACAAAGCTATCAGAAGGAATATCAAGGATTATAAAAGGAGAGTACAGGAAGAAAAAATAGAAAAAGCAATTGAACAAAATAAAAACATGAAGTGCTTAAAACCACAGCTTGGAACCATACAAATTAATAGTATAAAGAACAAAGAAGGTACAGAGACCAATAATGTAGAAGAAATTATACAGATAACACAAGAATATTATAAAAACCTCTACAATACAAAACAGAAACCAACCCAAGAAATCCTTAAGCAACTACAAATAAAAATAAAAAATGTTAATTCCGACTTACAACCAGAGATCAGTAAGAACGAGATAAGAAGAGCACTTAAAAGGATGAAGAACAATAAATCGCCAGGAAAAGACGGGGTGACTGTAGAAATGCTAAAACATGGTGGGAAAACAACTAGAGAAGTTTTGTACATACTTATGAATAAAATTTTAATGACAAAACAAATACCCAACAGTTGGAACGAAGCAATAATACTGTTACTATTTAAGAAAGGAGATAAAAAGGATCTAAAGAATTACAGACCCATAACTTTATTAAATGTGATGTACAAACTATTAACCAAAATATTAACAAATAGATTAACAACTAAATTAGATGGATACCAGGCAAGAGAACAAGCCGGATTTAGAAAGAGCTTCAGTACAAGTGACCACCTTTTAACGATGAAGATTTTAATCGAAAATACTAACGAATATCATATCCCGCTATACATGGCATTTATTGACTTTGAGAAGGCATTTGATAGTGTGGAACACTAGGCAGTACAGAATTCCCTACAAAACAGCAGAATAGACTACCGATATACCGACTTAATTACAAACAACAAGGCAACAACAACTATTAAGCTAATGAAACAAACGGAGCCTATTAAAATAAACCGAGGAGTAAGACAAGGAGATACCATATCGCCCAAGTTATTTAACCAAGCGCTAGAAGATGTTTTTAAACGACTACACTGGGATGACTTGGGAATTAATATAAACGGGCAAAATCTGAATCATTTACGATATGCTGATGATATTGTATTAATAACAGAAAAAAGTGAAGAATTACAAAGAATGATGGAAGAACTAGATAGAGAATCGACAAAAATTGGACTCAAGATGAATTATAGTAAAACAAAAACCATGACTAATCAACCAGAAGAACTTATGATTACAGTGGCACAAACAAAAATAGAACAAGTAAAAGAGTATATATATCTAGGCCAAATCACTAAATTAAATAAAGAAAATCAGACCGAAGAAATAAAGAGAAGAATATGATTGGCCTGGGCATCATTCGGAAAACTGTCTTATATTCTAAAGAATTCAAAATACCCCCAATACTTAAAAACCAGAGTCTATAAAAACCAATCAATGTATACTCCCTGTCCTCACATATGGCTCTCAGACATGGACGTTTACAAAGGAAAATATGGAAAAAATAGCAAAGACAGAAAGATCCATGGAAAGACAAATGCTGAACATTAAACTATCAGACAAAAAAAGAAACGAATGGATCCGTAATAAAACAAAAGTGAAAGATGTCTCAACCCAAGTAGCAAAGCTTAAATGGAAGTTTGCCGGACACACCCTAAGGCAGAAAGATGAAAGATGGACTAAAACAATTATACATTGGAGACCATGGAATCACAAACGTAAAAGGGGAAGGCCACAAATGCGATGGTCAGATGACCTGAAGAAACACGCCGGGTCAAAATGGATGCAAATTGCCCAAGATAGAGAGGCATGGAAAAAGGAGGAGGAGGCCTATATCCAAGGATGGATTTTTAAGGGCTGTATAGATAGGCATCCTATGAAGAAGAGAGTAAATAAATAAGCTCGAAATAGGTAAAGAGATTCGATGGGGATACTTATTGTCCCTACTATTGTTTAATGTATACTTCGAAGACATATTAAATGAAGCCAAAAATTATGTAGATGAGGGTTTATGTATAAACGGGGAGAAATTGAAGAATGTCAGGTATAGGATGATAAGGTGATATTTCCTGAGCAGACTATTTACAATTCTCAAATATAAAGAAGCCCGTTTCCGGAATCAACAAAAACAAAGAATCCAATACATTGTTCAGTGACTAAGTCTATAAGAATACTCAAATAGTGTGCGCCAAGAACCTGGAAAATGAAAGACAACCGGAATAGAAAAATCAGCGAAAGGCATATGGAAACGACCACCATTCGAATTCAGGATAAGCTAGAAATAAATTTAACATGTGAATAAGTAAACATATCTCCTAGCTTTCTTGGATGTCAATCAATCCTTCGATAAGGTTTAACATGAAGATCTACTTTATACCTTAAAGAAATATCACATTGCTTCTTTCCAGTCCGAAAGTGCTACATAACAAAGAGATACTTAAATAGAGAAAAGTAAGATCAATGAACACAGCTTCATTCGAACAAATAAAGCTATACTACAAGGGAGTGCACGTAACCTTCCAATGAAAACGGGACGACTGCTTATATGACGATTACTTATAAGGAAACAATTAATTACGACAAACAGCACAAAATATTTAGGCATCCATCTTAGAAAATGAATAATCTGACAAAAGAACATCTTTACTAAAAGAAAATACCTTGGTGTTAAGAACAGACAAATTTATCAGCTACTCGGTCGAAACTCCAATCTAATTAATGTTATATAATAAGCTACACCTCTATAAGACACCCTTTCCACCAGTTTGGACTTATGTAATCTAGCTAAGGACTTATCAGACCCCCAGATAGTACGATACATCAAAGCAAATGGTATAATATAGGCAGGGCATGCAGTTGGTCGTCCAAGAAAGGAATGGGAGAATGCAGTAACAAGTGATCTAAGAAAGATGAGGGTGCAACAATAGTAGATTGCTGCCCAAGAAAGGCAAAAGTGGAGGAAAATAGTAAAAGCGACCAAGACTCACTTACAGCTGTAGAGCAAAAAAAAGAACAAGTAGTAACATGTAGTTGCTAAATATCGAAACAAGAATTTTCAATTAAAGAAGATCCTACGTGTTAGTACATAAATACACTAAAATGACTTATTATATTACTATTACTTGTTATATTTACGTAGATATATTAAAGGTAATAAATAAATGGTTTATTACTTTTTTTGTTGCTAGCATCAAGCCATCGGAAAAAATGAAAAAATCGCAATTAACCTATTAGTGCCCAGATTGTAAGTTTTTTTTGTAAATTTAATATACTTTGGATAGAATATATAAGAATTAAAAAAAAAGTATAAATTTAAGCAATATCGTTTTTAGATCAGACAGCAT